TGCTACGCTTTGGCGTTGCCGTTGTTCTGGTTTAGCTTAACCAAAATGAATGCTTATATGTCATGTCTGTGTTTTTGATTGAACTTTCAATACTTTGTCAGTTTGTTGTATAACGATATACTAGTACGATATACTATTGTGGCATGTATGATATGAGATTATCCCATTGCATTTTCAGTTGGGGATCTGTCAATATGAAGATGCATTCCAACATAACTGAATGTCTTCCTCTGGGGACTGATCATTCTGTGATCTCCACAGACTACACACCAATACTGAGGCTTATTTGCAAGACAGAGCAATGCAGACAAGCTGCTAAATGTAAAAGAAGGTATGTATATAGCTAGCAGTCTTGTAACCAGCTTTTGTCAAAGGGGAGTTCAATTTTCCAAAAATTCTAGGAGTGTTCACAATTGCCAACTTAAGCCCAAAATCGCTTAAAGTGCTCAGAATAGTGAAACATTTCGTGCCAGGGGTGCTCACCCCCCCCCCCCCAAACTTACATCTGTCTAGCTGATTTTCATCCTATTTCATACAGTAAATGTTATAGGGAGTTAAAGGTTCTATGTAATATTAGAGTCTAATTGGCCCCGACTTTTAGTATGTTTTTTTTTTTTACTTTTAGTATTGTGGTAATTATTTTTTAACTGTAATTTCAACTACAAGATATCAAATCAAAGCATTGGGTGTTACTTTGAAATTTTGTTAAAGGATTTAAGCCCAGGGCATTGTGAATGGTGAACAATTTTAAGTCTGAGGGTCTCACAGAAGACTTTGAATGAGGATGGAAACCCAAATTACATACATTTTAAGCTAAAATACAGAAACAAAACAATGCATATTTGCAGTAGACATGGTAGATAGATACACGTGCAAATAATAATTAATGTCACATGAAAAGGTAATGTGACATAGAAAAGTAATACCCTTCTACATAGCTAACATTAATGAATCATACATTTTATTGTGAAGAGTAAAAAAAATTCTTGCAAATTATTTCAAGGCTTAAAGAATTTCAACAGCTGTTTTATATTTCCCTAAATTCATGCTTTTTTCTTTGCAGGTTCTTTCACTATTTAGAGCAGATCCAAATATATTTGAGACAGTCCACCATTGACAATCTCTGTGCTACTTGATAAAGAAATTGAAATAATGATTATTATACTCACATCTTGGGAGTATTTGTGCAAATTTCAAGTGTAGTTATAGTACAGTACATCGAAATACATTGCAGTACAGTACAGTACAGTACAGTACAGTACAGTACAGTACAGTACAGTACAGTACAGTGCAGTACAGTACAGTACAGTACAGTGCAGTGCACAACATGATACAATTGTAGTACAATACAGTACCAGTACAGAACAGTACAGTACAGTGCAGTGCTGTGCAGATGAGCAAAATACAGTACAGTGCAGTGTACAACACGTTACAATCGTAGTACAATACAGTACAGTACAGTACAGTCCATTGAAGTACAGCACAGTACATTCAGACATTACAGTACAGTACATTGCAGTACAGCATCAAGTGCAGTACAATTAAACAAAATACAACATGCTGTGTTCTCTGTAATACTTATAGACCATCTTAATGACTGCAAATTCTACTATACTATTTGATGGCTGCTAATCTGTTATTAGGATGTAATTGTGAAAAGCTTTGATATAAAAACTGGATATTATAAATGTAACCTTGATCTCTGGATATTGGAGTAATGAAGCAGATATATTACAATGTCCAAATCATACGCTGTGTCAATGTACAGATACTCAGCTAATTTTCTAATCTAGGCTCGGCCTAATTATGACTTGTAGTACAATAAAAATATCATTTACAATTTGGTATCACTATTTTATATGGCTCAATATCGTATATACCCAGTGCAAGTGTAATTAGAAATTAATAACAGGACATTTTACATCACCAATTCTCATGGAAAGCATAGGCTACATTGTGCACAATAGCCAATACAGTCAGAACGGTGTTTTCAGAAAACACATTTTCACTGAAGAATATTTCATTAAACATTATCAAAATGTTTTTCTGCCAGTTTTTATGTCACCACCACAAGTGGTGACATATTGTCATAGTCTCCCAACTTTTTGTGGACAGTATTCGGCATTTGGCATTCGGTGGTCAGTGTCTGTAACAAATGGCAAGTGGTGACATTTTGCATATTAATGTCTTGTATTTCATAACATAATTTTTTGCAGTCTTTTCAAAGTGATGGAATATAATTGTCTAGTGATATTGAAAAATCTTAGGAACTTAGGAAATAACTTGTAGAATTCACCTATTTATTTATAATGATTTGTTTATGTTTGTCAATATGACCATAACTGTCTTGTACAAAGGAATAATAAATATTGCATGTTGAAATGTACAGAAATATAAATCTGAATCAGTTCTGTTTTTTCTAAGGGAGCATGTCAAAAGATCAATGTCACCAAATAAGCTATGTACTGTATTATCAGTTAAAGTGCCTGATAAACTATAAAATGCGCATGCGTCCAGGTGTTGATAAACTATAAATAGCGAAAACCCAGGGTTTGTCATCACAAGGTAAGCCAGGACGTGTTGAGCGAACATCTAGTGTTCATATTGAATTTACATGTAGCCAGATAAGTTTCCTTATTGAAATTACATATAGTTATTAGCAATACTTTGTACTGGTGATAATTAATAAAATATGAGTATATATGAGAGAAATTGGCCATTTCGAACCTGTTGAAAGTTTGTGGCTCTCGGCTACACCGGGGAATTTACTTCCATGAGTACAGACACAAATGTGGGGCTCCCCAAGAGGTACGCGAGAAGGTGACCTGGCATCAAATGTACGACTAAATGCTTCTATCGAGTAGATAAAAGAACGAATACGACAATAAGTTATTGCAAACGACAATTCCGAGCATTCATCTCACTGAAGTATTTTGAAGTGAAGAAAATATGATTTTTGTTTTGAATCATGGATTCAGATGAACGTAACTTCATTGACAACTAATCAAAACTGAACAAAATTGATTATACGTAACAGACGATTTATTGTTTTACAATGTTTTGATCGGCTAAACGAATGAAACCAAGAAATCATGACATGTAAAATGGCAATTTTGAAATGTAAATTTTAAAAGTGACAAACACAACCTCCCTATCCACTCTTTATGAGCCCTAATATATACATGCAGCAGTGGTAGTGTACAGCTTATTATCACACTACTGGGCATTGTATTTTAAAGCTTGTTGTTTTTAATAACACTGTTCACTCGACGTAAATTTTTGTGTGTGCGCAGTCAACGATAATCATTGTTTTATCCCGGTTATATGACCTCGGCAATTATAACAAAACCGTACTAAACGAAAAAAACGCAAATAAGAGAAAGCTTTCACACACATATAAAAAATGAACTAGTCTAATCCGCCAGTATAAACTCTGTTATATACGTAGCCAGGTCGGGCGCACACTTTAAAGGTGTTTTTCACTATTATAGCACAACTGATATATAAAACCCCATTTAATGAATATGAAAGACTCATCAACAAGGTACATGATGAATATTTTTTGTTAAGAATTGCATGTGCCAACATTTTCCATATATAGTTAACGGGGGGGAGGGGGGATGTCTGGGACTGATAATATAAAAGTATAGCTTTTTGTGCTACAATGAATTTTTGATGCGCTCCCTAAATAATGTGTCAATATGTGGAGTATGTTAGATGCATTTAAGTCAGTAATAACTTGCTGAAACGTTTGGAAAAATTCAATACCATTAAGGGCAATAATAAATCTGGTGCCATGTGGAACACTTACAAGGTTAACCCTGGACTACCTAAATTTGAAATTAGGAGAGAAAATGAGCAAATTTTGTTTAAAATGTACATGAATGTTACCACTGAAAAATGGATGTAATCATATCTTGCAAAAAAACGATATTTTAACCTAGTTCCTTAATTGGTCATGCAATATTAAAGAGCAACACAATCAAATGTTTTATTAGTTTCACCCAATAAAATACTTCAAGATATACAGGGTTATAAGGCCTGTTGTCAGATATAATCTTAACTAATTGACCAATATGATCTATATGTCTGGATACAATATTGGAATTCTGTCAAAACTCAGAGCCTCAAAAATTGCTTGGTGTTCCAATATTCTTTATTGGATTTTTCTGAGGGCTCTCAAAATTACTCTATGTTCGATTTATTACGATGATCAATTACCTTGATTGGACTTTTTATCTCGGCCCTGCAATGGAATGAATTAACCTGGTGACAGTTAGGGGTTATTCTGATAACCTAGAGTTGGTTTGCAAGCATATGTGATACGCTTATAATGCTGAATGTGCGTGTAAAAAGGTAATATGCAAATATTGAGAAATGATCACTATTTACCACAGGTCTGAGAAAATGTTGTATATGCTATTTTGTTCCAACAAGGTTCGGAGAGACATTTTATTTCGTTCCCAAGAATTGGTAGAAAGGAACAAAAAACAATTGTACTAAAAAACAAAAAATAACAGTTATATGAAATATATAAAAATAATTTTCGCATTTTTTCGCACTTCTTTTACAGGGAATTTACAAAAATATGGGGCACTAAGGTAAAAAATGATGACCATTTACCCGATATTTAATGGGGAATTTAAGAGAAAGCAATAATCCAAATAATGACAAAATCTGAGGTCCATGTAATAGAATACAATGCCATACATCATCCATTCTTATTCACAGTCCTGTGATATAATAACTTGGTAGTATAGAATGGAGAGAATAATTTTTGAAATTATTTTGTCAACTCTATAGAATCTAGGTCAATGACGGGAAAATCCGATCAAATATGGGAGTTGTTGCAGAAATTACTTTCATTCATTATTATTGGTAAATGGAGATTATTTTTCAAAAAAAATGCCAACGTTTTTTTTACAATCCTAATTCTATAGATTCTGGATACCTAATCAAATAATGAAATATGGAGGCCATTGCAGATTCTAACATGATATATGATAACACGATAACTATAATACAACAATTGATTCACTGGTCTATACTGGAGTATGTATGTATGACTAGTTAATTTCATTTTAGGCCAGTAGTTGTAATACCAGATGTTATGGTGGCATGTTTTTGCCATTGTGATATTAGAATCATAATAAAGACCTTGTTTCTTTTATTTGTGGCACATAATATATGATCTCTGATTTTATTCTGGCCATTACCTATGGCCTCAATCACTATGTGATTATGATCGTTCAACAGAGTAAAATATGAATCTCATATCATAAATTAAAATCTGCATCTTTATTCCTGAATTAATATGAAGAAATTACTCAATTCATTAAAATTTGCCCTCCCTTGCCATTTATTGGACGTAATCAGATGCTTTTCTATAATTAAAATTATTTGTTCTGTTATTCAAGATCGCGAAACGTGTTTGTTGCTTAATGTTTCATACAATATTGAAGAGATATGTATTTGATATGATGATGCGTTACTTGAAATGCTGACCTTTCAAGGAAGACTTTTTCATGTAATGCTCTAAATAAATAACCTTTTGAGCTGACATATACGTACATGTATATGTCAACTATTGACTCTGGTGTCATGAGTCATATTAATCATGTTCAGTCAGTACATTCCTCTTAAATATTAACGAGGCAGGCTGGATTAGTCAGCCTCTATAGATTAAGAATAGTTCAGTGTCACATCGATAGTTTCAATCTTTTCTCATGTGGCTCGGGATCTTGACAAGCTTCAATGTTCTTTTCTCTTATGGTTCGCGATCTTTACAAATATCAATGTTCTTTTCTCTTGTGGCTCGCGATCTTTACAAACGTCAATGTACTTTTCTCTTGTGTCTAGAGATCATGACAAGCATCAATGTACTTTTCTCTTGTGTCTTGAGATCATGACAAGGATCAATGTACTTTTCTTTTGTGACTCGCGATCTTGACAAGTATCAACCTATCAATGTACATACAACAGTGACTTCAAAGGAGTGAGGTTTTCTGAATTTTTATGTCGGCACTAGAAGTGGTGACATATTGTTAAAGTCCTCCAACTTTTTGTGGACTGTGTTCAGCAGTTGGTGTTCGGTGCTTAGCAGTCGGTGTTTGGCATCTGTAATGTAACAAATGGCAGGTGCTGACATTTTGCAAGTTAATGCCTTGTTTCATTATTATGTCAAGGTAGCCCTCAACTGCAATTAGAACAATAATAGGGTGGGCCAAAAAATGTAGATTTTTTTGCTTAACCTGTAGAAGAGCTATAATGCTCTTGTTTCTGA